AAGTGAAGCTAAATACTTTGTGAGCCAAACCAATCAATAAAAATTTAAATTAACCAAGACAATTTCAAATCAGACTATGTTAACTATGAAGTGCAAACTAACTTACGATATGATATATGAGTTTCATACTTAATATTTTATTTATTGTTTATTGTTTATTTTTGTGTGTATAACCAACAATGTCGATTTGAAATTTATATTGCAAATATATAATTTTATATATTTTACATATGCTAAAAAAAGAACATTATTATTTTGAACTTAAATTTTGCTAGCAGTAACTAATATTATCTAAATTTATTTGGGCTTCTTTCCTAAAGCAAACTATTCCCGCTATTAGAAAAAGGCTTGAGTTATGCCCTTACACAAAAAAGAGACACCAGTAATTGGTAAACTATCGACCTATTAGTAAACTATCCTCTCCAAAAGTTTTGTGAAAGTGTTCTATACTAGACAACAATATTTCTCAATAAATAAACATTTATCAGATTTTAAACGCGGTATTTTAAAGACCTTGGAGGCCTTGGAGGGTGGTGAATTGCCCTGTGGCCTTTTAATAGACCTTTCTACTACTTTCAACTGTTTAGCACACATCGATCTCAAGCAATTACAATTGAAACCCTTTTCTTCTGAGAAAATTGCCTATTAGACTCGGTGTGATGTAAGGTCCCTTGCTTTTTATCATTTATTTAAATTACCTAATATATTAACAAGAAGCAGGGACGTACTGGATCTATTGAATCTGTGAGTTCAGCAATTCATTATTATAAAAAATTGCTTTTAGGATAATGGCCTGATTTTCAATACCGATAAAACACAATGCATCATTTAAAAAATAATAATAAAGATAACCAATAACCGTAAGTTCTTGGGTGTGAACATAACTAACCAAAACTAACCTCTAATGGTGCAGGCAAACAACTGTCTACTTCTTATGTTGAGAACACTAAACAGATATCTAGGCCACAATGTTTCTCGTATGCCATATTTTAGTAATTTTCCGTATTTGGTTAGTTTTTTTCGAATAATATTCGTAAGTAAAAGGGATTCTTCTAAATTGAGATTCCATTAACAATTCCAGGAATTTACAGGTTCTTAAAAAAGATTAACATAAGTTCTCATAATTAAAATTTAACCACTCTTATCACACCAGACGGAAAGAATTAGATTAAAATTGTCATTGTGTGCTGCGTTTTTTCACAATATACTGCCAGAAATATAAAATGTTAAACTCCTCTGAAGCAATTGAAGTACTCGTACTTAAAACATTAAGTACACTGTCCAGCAATACCCGAATTAAAAACCAGCATTTTTTATAAATTTGTTAGATTTAAGTAGGTAGATACTTGTAATAATTAGGGAGCATTAATCATATTATTTAACAATGTGTATAAAAAACCAGACATATTTCGCCTGTTTCGTAGAGAATCAAGATTGTATGATATAATATATAATAGAATATAACATATGTAATAGAAACTTATGTTGAACCGTTTCAATGTAATACTTACGAATTTCGTAACTACATAAAAACAATATTCAAGCATAGTGGCGACAAATGATGTATACAATATTTTGAGACATATTAAATTAAAATCCTTACAATTTCTTATGATAAATCCATACACTCTGGATGCTTTTATTTATATGTGAACTGAAAGATGAGTATCCAAGGTTACACCAAGATCCCACATGTCCAGAACTCTCGCTAACAATGTTCTCCCAGTTTTATAATCAAATTCAACTTGTATTTTCTTTCTTCGAAAGGGAACTACAAAACATTCATTAGTATGTAATTTATTGGTTTTTTGAATATAAACTCAATCATACAGAACTCTGCACTGTTAATAATCTCCACAAAAGTAACACTCTATTTCAAGTACTGTTTAGGTGTTCGTTTTATGAGAAGATTGGAACTATCCTGTTTAAAGGTGTTTTTTGTGGCAAAATTTTATCGTTGATATAATAGACAGTTGAAAACCCAACAACGTGAAGGGGGAGAAGATATGAAAAAAAAGGAGGTTTTTTCTGGTTTTTTACTATTAAACTAAAGCATAGTGTGGTTTAAATTGGTTTTTATGTTTTGGTATTGCTATTATGTAAATAACGAGGTGTGTAATAATCTAAAATAATAGGTTAGAATGCAATCATCTTCTATTGGACATTGAGGCCTATTAATTGTAGGATATTGACAATTTAAAGCACAATAAGATCTTTGAAGAATGATGATGATATATGGCTGAAAAATCTAAATTGTAAGCCTAAACTTTTTTTCAACAACATGGAGCAAAATATTATCAAAATAAATAAGAACTAAAAGTTCAGATTTTCACGAAATTATATATTTTTACATGACAATTGTTTCGACAACACCGGGTCTTTAAAAATATATAATTTCGTGAAAATCTAAACTTTTAGTTCTTATTTATTTTGATAAATGGATCTTCATCAAGTAAAAGCCACCTACTTCAATTTTTGCAAAATATTATTAATACTTTTGTTTCCGAAAAGAATGACGACATATTTGGGAGGGTTAAGCTTTAGCAAATGGTTAGATGAATTGTAACAGACGCATCCAAATCTAATTTTATAGTATGTAGTGCTGTCCTATATTCAAACAAATAATATATTTGAGTAACATATGATACTGAGAAAATTTAAGATATTAAGGAAAATATGATGTGTAAATACTAAATACCAATGGGCCTAACATACTTCCTTGTGGAACTTCAGCGACTACGGGCAGACAGTTCGAAAGATTGCTATCCACTTTAATTTGCTGGGTCTAATTAGCGTTATAGCGTTATTGGCAAAACCGATGCAAAAGAGCGGTGAGAATTTCATGATTTAAAAAATTAAAAGCTTTTGAGAAATTTAATAATACCAGAGCAGTTATTTTATTATCTTGTGCACCAAAAATATCATCAGTCAAATCTTACATTACACAGCTATAGTCAGTTTTAAAATGAGATGTGCCCACGAATTTGAGTGTCTATTCAAGAATTTTTGACATGTGGCTAAGTAAATATATATTTATGCATTATGGATTCAAATATTTTAGCAGGAAAAGAAAGCAGAAAAATTGGCCTGAAGGAAATTAGTTTGCTTTTAAGGATACGTTAAAAAAGGTCCTTAGTAGCACGATAAAAAAAATTATTAAACTTTTGCAAATATGTGTACGAATAAGAACGTTTTTTGAAAATAAACGTTATTTTTTTATATCCCACTCACCCTAGAATTAGCGGAATGTTTTCTTGAGACACCCGGTACTTAAAGAATCCTTATATTCGAAGAAAGCAGTAAAACTGGTTGAAGTAAATTAGTTTGTTTTTAAGATAGGTTAAACAAGGTCCTTAGCAGCACAGTAAAAAAAAATATTGAAGTTTTGTAAATTTGTGTATTAATGTGAACGTTTTTGGAATATAAATGTTATTTTTTTATATCCCACTCGCCCTAGAATTACCGGAATGTTTTTTTGCGACGCCCGGTATCAAAAGAAGCTCTATATTCGAGTCCAAGAGAGTTGAATATAATTAACAAAGTGTATTTATATTTACGTATTTAATAATACCAGAGCAATTATTTTATTATATTGTGCACGAAAAATATCATCAAATTCTGTCATTACACAGCTATAGTCAGTTGGTTAAATAAGATGTATCCACGAATTTGAGTTTCTATTCAAGAATTTTTGACATGTGACTAAGTAAATATATATTTATGCATTATGGATTCAAAAGGTCCTTAGCAGCACAGTAAAAAAAATATTAAATTTTTCGTAAATATATGTATGAATATGAACGTTTTTTGAAAATAAACGTAAATTTTTTATATCCCATTCACTCTAGAATTAGCGGAACGTTTTTTTTATTTGCGACACCCGTTATCAAAAGAAACCCTATATTCGAGTCAAGTGGAATTTGAATGTGTACGACTCACTAAATAATTTTTGACATGTGACTAAGTAAATATATTTTTATGCATTATGCATTCAAATTCAGAATGCTGAAAGACTGGGCTAAATGAAATTAGTTTGCCCTTAAAGAGAGGCTAAATAAGGTCCTTAATAACACAGTAAAAATATTCAAGTTTTGTAGATATGTGCATGAATATGAACGTTTTTTTAAAATAAACGTAATTTTTTTATATTCCATTCACCCTAGAACTAGCGGAACGCTTTTTGCCACACCCGGTTATATACAAGCGAGTTATATAAAATATAGCACAGTGCATTTACGGGTAACAGGCGATTTCGACGTACGGCGTCTGACATATTAAAAAAAATAACACCAAAAATCGCCGTTAACGCCGGTTCGACGTTTACGCCGTGGAAAATCTGCGGGGATGAATAATTCGCCCCCCGAAACTCTTTGTTGCCCGGGGTGGGACATACCTTAGCGGCGAACCGCCTCTATCCGTCGAGAAAACCCCGCCTACACATCCAGTCGTTTAGCGTCTGGACGCTTCCCGACGCCGACGGCGCAAGCGTCGAGGATTACCTTTTCTAATTTTCTTCGAGAATTTATTTTCGTTAACTCGATTCCCCGACGCTTAGCCGACGCCGCGACGCGGACGCTGCGTGACGAGCCGAATGAGGAACGAAAAAAAAAAACACACACACACACACACAAAATATGCGAGCGAGGGAGAAGCGAGAGCTTCTCATCGGTCGGGATTCGATTGATCCGTTAAGAGAGATAAAGATTTCGAAGAGAGAGTGGAAGGACGGTCACCACCACCCTCCCCCTCACGCCGCGACATCGCCACCGCCCCCCGCAAGCTGGCGTATTCGTTTCATTATGAAAAAGCGGTTGATCGTTTTCCTAAAAAAAAAGAGCGTTTAAAGGAGACGCGGCGGCGTTAGGGGTGGCGCGAGATTCCTAAACTGGCCCGCGCGTCAGCAGCGTCTCTCCTTCTATTCGAATCCGGTCTAAACTCCGGTAAAGCTCGCGACGACGTCGACCGTCTCGCGTGCTCGAACCCTCGAAATCGCGTAGTTCGCTTTAGTAACGTTCCGGACGTCGTGAGCGGAACATCTGCGCCGCTCATCAGCAGGAAAGCGAAGTCACGTTGTTTGCGATGATAATAATAATAACGATTTAAAGGTTTCGATTGTTTTACCGTTTCTTGTGAAATTTCGCGAACGGTCATCGAATGGTTCGACGGTAGATGACGATGGACTTTCAAAGCGCCATGGAGACGTTTGCCGAAGCGTGGGTCGCCGCCAGTATCAAGGGGGCACCCTTGTCGGAAGTCGGTGGTACCCAGGTAGGTGAACGCCCGGTTATTCGTCTGCGACCAAAAAGTAAACAAATAAATATAAATAATTAGTCGTTGAGGAAGACCACGAAACTATTTATGCCCACAAGTCGGCCGAAAGTTCAGGATATTAAAAATCTTTTTGCTTCTGATTACACCTATTTATTTATTTGTTTAACGATGAAACAAGTAAAACAGATATAATCATTATAAAACAGGTGGATTTTGGTAAAACGAAAACGACAGGCAAACTAAATATTGCTCAAAGCAACGACATGATCGTCAAATTATTTTTTAGACATAAAAAAAATAGATAGTGAAAACATAAATAATAATAATAATAAACGTTTCTTAAAAAAGTTAACATTAAAAATCTCCTTGGCTCACTACAAACCCGGAAGTCGCTAAATTAAACCTAAGAAGCGAGTATATGAAAACATTCTGCTTGGAAATCAAAAGAAAATCGTAAAAAAAATTTTTTCTGAAATAAAAGTGGGAGAGAAGTTTTACAAAACTTTTTGTCAACTAATTATTGAATAAATATTTAATATTACATTATCTCATATTTCATTCATTGCAAAAGTACTTGCAAAACATGTGTTCGCTCTCACTGCTGCTTCATAGAGCACGGTTTCAAATTATCTCACAATCATTTCTTATATACTGATAACAAGCATTACCTTAACTTTATTGATTATATTCCATTCATGGTGAAAATTTACTTGCATAAAATTTTAGTGTTCATTCTTAGTGCAAATTATACTAATTATACCACTAGTTGTGAAATTGGTGATAATCGTGAGCTATCTCCTCGGGCATCACCAAAACGGCTACTAAAAAAAAAAACTTAATTTCATCCAAATTTTATAAATAACGCAAAATAACATAACGAGCCACTGAGTTTTGCATTTTTATGCTTTCCGTATACTTCAAACCGATCGATTTATATGCAAAATATATCTATATAGGGCTAACCCTGGATTAACAAAATCTGGCATTAACGTTAGCCGCTTTAAACCGAACTGTTCAGCATTTGCTATCATTAAGTTATTGAAATTCGAAACGAAATCGTTTAAAGGCTTATAAGAGCGAGCTAATATTTATCGCAACTGCCGACTTTAACTAAAATGATTTACTATAAAAATATCTAATCCGTGTGTGTGTTCTTAAGCCCAAAATAAAAAAACATTCTAGCGAAAACCATTTACATACGTTTCTGTAAAAAGTGTCACCAATTTAAACCGAGCGAATTATTAGAGGCAATTAATTAGGGAACCGTAGCCTTTAAAATTTTATTAGAGGCAAAAACAGTAATATAATATGCGGTTGATTACGCAAAAATCTTAAATGGTATTAATTATCGGAATGTTTTTTTCCTATGGAAAATATTGGTTATTTGTCAACAACTCTATAGCTAATATTTCGACCCAAGTAGTGTTAGAATATTTAAATCTTCCAATAAACAACCGCCGAGTAATTTTAAGTTGAAAACGAATACGAATTTCAGACGCGTGTAGACGTACTTTGCACGAATGTACGCCTATATATCGTCTTAATTAGATATCTAGCCTTAAACGGACACTTAAGTATAATTAGCGATAATTATTTAAAGGTAATACGTACATTAAATGAATTACAATTTATTTGTTTATTGGTGTAAGTGAAGAAAAATTTATATCGTAAAGTATGATCGATACGATTATTAATCGAACAAACTTACGTCAAATATGGACTACATGCGTATTTAAATGTCAATTAAAAAACGCGTAAAATCACTGGTTTTCCGACCGTATTTTTTCATTCGCATATGAAAATTAATTACGCATTTTCTTCGTAAAAATACAAACGCATTAAATAAAACATCAAATATATGAAACCATAGGCACATTTTAGGTACATACACGTATGCATTGCGGCGCGAACACAATAGGGCAATTATAAACTTTTAAAATTCGGATTTGTTTCAGTTATTTTAATATAAAATTATGTCGCAATTTATATTATATAAAATATCATTGTATGTTTAAATTCTAAATGCAAAATAATGTAACTATAATGTCCAATGAAACCTGCAAAATCGAATAAAAATCGTTAATTCTCTATATTAATCCCATTCAACAGGACCGATAATATAATGGATGATTCGAGTATAAATTAGAATATTTTGTATTTATTCGGTTATTTTTGAAATAAACGCGATCCCGCATTGGCTATAACTTCAGATATAAAGTATCAAACGCATGCAAATTGCTTTTATCGTGTTTAATTTTCGCTATTTTACCTGTGGTAACAAAACCAATCGTCTACGTTAAAGACTTGTTTATTTTTCCAAGTAAAGGCTATTATAATTTAACAGGATTAGGCTAAAGCTTAAGTATCCCGCGAAAATCCGGTCACTAGCCCATATCGACCCTTATGATATTAAGAAACAACCACGCAAAAAGGAAAAATACATTTCGAATACGGACTGAATATATTGAATTTCTTCTACGTATATTGCTCCGATAAACTTCGGAAAACCAAATACGGCGTTTGATTCGATTTCCATTATTGTAACGCCCGGTATCATTGTTGACTTAAAAAATTATAAAATCCGTATCAGAAGTGTAAATATGTAACGCGATTTATCCAAGAGATGAATATTATTGAACATACCGCCTTATAAACTCTTTATATTTGTCGAACCAGGTAAACAAATAATTGGATTAAAGTTATATTTATTTCTACCACTTTCGGTCCTAAAGAATCTAAAATTATTACGTAACGTTATCTAAGCAAACACAATCAGTAAATTCTGCGTATTAGTGCCGATAATGTTATTTTAATAACAGTGGTATATATTTTTCTTGGTATATACTCTAAGGTAGTCGAGCCAGCGCCTGTGTGTGTATATTATTATACCTAAAAAAATGGCGGTCAGTCTTTCTATGTCACCTGTATGGATTCCAAGAATCGACCGCGTAACACTGACGTTTGCTTTCATTTTTGAACTGTGACATAGTAATAAACAATTTCAATATATTTATCGAACTCGTTGATTATTTTGTAAAACAATGTGTGCGATGTAGGTCAATAGGATAAATTTGTTACCAGGCCTGACTTAAATCTTCCGTAGACCGGGAAACTCTGATCTATCCATCCTTGCAATGATCGAGTTCTTTTGCTTTCAATTAATTCAGCACTATTAGCAAATCACACAATAACACCTAATTTTGTTTTGTTACACAAGGATACTATTAAAAAAATCCTAAACCAAAATGACATTTAAGCGGTTCTTCTATCAAGATCGAAAGTCTTATGGCTTGGAATGACTTGAGCCGCTAAATTGTTGTACAAAAAAGTGTATCACAACTAGCAAAGACTAATTTCCACAACGACCCGCAAAGAGTACTGAAGAGAACAGTCTGAAAAATGACTCCTTGTATCATCAGCATCCATGAAATTATCGGCTAGGTAAGACTAAGATTTCACAAATTTTCAAAAATCCAGTAATTTCATAGATTTTTTTTCGGAGATGATGTACTGGCTGGCCAATTTTTGATGTTTTTACAGGTTACGGGGGTTATCCGTAGAGATAGAAAAGTTCATTTATTTCTTCTGAGGCTGATGCATTTTATTGCTGATTCGAAGAAGTTTTTATTAGTGCTATTCAAACACGATAAAACTAGCCACGTTTTTAAGGTCTACTGGCAATAGTCTTTTTATAAACTGGCATGAAGGGTAGTTTTGGCTTGAGATATTCTTTAACAAATATTTTGATCAGAATAAACTGAAGGAAGTGGCCCTTGTACGAGCAAATAAAAATAAACGTGTTTACTATTCCCAGTGAAGCTAGGCAGATTATCATGTGGTATTTATTCTACACCGTAAAAGGATGTTGATTTTTGAAGGAGCGAGGAAAATGAGATTATGTGCATCGTGGTGTTTGCACCCCTGATCCCAATTCCGAAGGAACTGGCAGATTTATATCAAAAACTGAAACAATCTATATATTGAGTAGATATGCAGTGGTCTTACAGGGGGGAAATACAGTGGTGAAACATATCTATACAGAGTTACTTCTAAGTTGTTGTCGAACATCTTAATTATGAAGGCTGAGACTATTTAATAACTTATATTTCATAATTTAAAACACTTCTTAGAAAAAATTGTTACGCATTGCCGTCGTAGCAGAGTATTGAAAATACAAATTTATTGGTTTAACGGCTCAAGCCAAATTTTAGGGTTTCAAAAGAAATATTAAATGAAAATGAAAATATCAGTAAATAATAGTAATTATTCATCAATCACTAACTCGTCTGAAATATCATAATCTGCTGACAACTCTTACTTTTTTCTGTACATGGCAATTTTAACATTTAATATATGCATATAATATATATTACTATTATTATTATTATTCCAAACTAAATGTAAGGAAAATTATGAACGTTAACAATAATAATAATAATAATAATAATAATAATAATAATAATAATAATAATAATAACATTTATTCAATTCAAATTTTACAATAACATAATCTATAAATTGATTTAAGTGGAATAAATGTATTGTTTCACTGAAGCATTGCGAAATGCTTATGCGTGACACACCAATATTAAACCAAACCAATAATAATTACATTAATAACGACGAGGCAAAGAATCTACTTGTTACATTTATAGTAATATATTATCTACTCACACATGTAAGCAAAAATGAAAATAAAAATAAAACAAGGATAAAAACATTAACTCACTAGGCACATAATTTAGGATTTACGTAAAAAAAAACTATGCTTGATTAAATATAATTCAAACCTTATTTACCTTTGATATTTTAAATTAATGAGGTCATCAAAAAGTCGTCTGCCCGTCTGAAACATCCATATTTTCACATCTTTTTTAGATTTCGTAAAGACGGTTTGTTCTCTTATATATGCTGTTATATATGTATATGATCGTTGTCCGTGTGTTTTTGTTCTAACTGTGGGATAGAAATGTTTAAGAGATATTGAAAATGGCCAT